AAGGCAACCAATAAAATGGGATAAAAGATTTGCAAATCACGTATCTGATCATAAGGGACTAGTATCCAGAATATATAAAGAATTCTTATAATGCAATAAAAAGACAAATAACCCAGTATGGAAATAGGCAAAGGACTTAATGGACATTTTTTAACAGAGTATACAAGTAGTAAATAAGCACATGAAAAAATACTCAGCATCATTAGTCATTAGTCAATCAAAATCACAAGGACACCACTTCATGCCCACTACAATGGCTGTAATCAAAAAGACAGACAAGAACAAGTGTTGGTAAGGATGTAAAGAAATTGAAACCCTCATACATTGCTGGTAGGATTATAAAATAATACAGTTGCTCTGGGAAAAGTTCATCAGTTTCTCAAAATATTAAGTAAGGGTTACCAATTTCTACTCCTAGGTATCTACCCAATAGAAATGAGAACATATATCCACACAAAAACTTGTACACAAATCTTCATAGCAGCATTATTCATAATAAATAGCCTAAAAGTGGAATCAACCCAAATGTCCATCAACTGAGGAATGAATAAATAAAATGTGACACTTCTATCCAATGGAGTATTTTTAGCCATAAATAGGAGTAAGTACCGATGACTGCTATAATATGGTGAACTTTGAAAACGTATGTTAAGTCATCAAAGACCATATGTTGTACAATTTCATTTATATAAATGTCCAGAATCAGCAAATCTGTAGAGACAGAAAATAGATTATCTTTGCCTAGGGCTGGTGGTAGAAGGGTGGAGGGAAATGGAGAGTGACTACTAACGGACACAGAATTTTTTTAGGGAGGCCAAAATTTTCTAAAATAAGAGGGCTACATAACTAAATAAATAAACTAAAAAACATTGAATTGTATACTTCTCATGGGTGAATTTTATGGCACATAAATTATATCTCAAGAAAAACCTGTTAAAAATTAATATTATTTTGCCATGTCAACCTCCAGTGTGGGCTACTGGTTCTTAAATACTACCTCCTAAGATATACCCCACTTCCATAACCTGCATTGTGAAGATCTGATTTTATATCACTTGCTGCCTTAGGTAGATCATATATCTTTATATCTCCAATGTCTAGCATAGCTCCTCATACTTACTAGCCACCCAAATACTCATTGAGTTGAAATGACAGCAGTACTGCAGTTTAAGAGGGGAAAGAGTTAGCCAGTCATTGTCTTCAAAGACTTGGCTCCCTCTACCCCCTATCCTTTGCCCATTGTGTATGTATGTGTCTGTGTGTGTGTGTGTGTGTATTATAACAATAGCCGCTTTATTATTTACAAAACATTCTCAAATACATTAACTCACTTAAACCTAAAAGCAACCTTGTGAGGTTAGTATGATTGTTACGGCCATTCTACAGAGAAGGGAACTAACTCAGAAAAGTTAATCTCCAGTCACCATGGGACATTTCCAGACCCGAAAGCCAGGGCCTTTCCACTGTACTTCACAGCCCCACATTCATAATAAGGTCTCTGACCACTGATGACATGCCAGAGTCACAGGGCAGGCCAACTACACCAACTACAGATGGCTCACAAGCCTCTGAGTTTGTCTCATTCCAGAGCCAAAGAGAAATTATCCTTTTGGTTACCTATTTTATTAAATTGGCTTGAGCAGTCAAGAGTTAAGCCCATCAGTGGAGGCATAAAATAAAAGTCAGCGGTCAGTTTTTCTCAGTTTCTGTGTTTTGTTGCAAACATCTCTGACAGAAAAATTGATTCTTACGATCAGATGCTGGTTCATGCTGTGACTACAGTTTTATTTATTTTGTTCTGAAGAAGTGGGTAACAAGCCCATTTGCTTGCTGTTCCCTGTGGCTGAGCTAGTTCTGCTGCACAGCAGTTGGATAAATTCAATTCAGCAGGTATTTATTGACATGCCTTCCATGTGCCAGGCAGTATGCAAGGAGCTGGGAAGACAGAGATGAGAAATCCCCAGTTCTTATTCTCAGAGGGTCCGTAGTATTTTCCAGGTCCTTTAATCATGTCATGAGTTTGTTCTTTTGGGAGGATTTGGTAAAAGGTGAAAGATTTGTACGATCTGAAGAGAAACCAGAGTATAGGGAGGATTTGGATTAGTTTGTGTTTACATTTTGGCATAATGCAGTCCCACTCTCAGAAAGTTGCTATCTAAAACATAAGAATTTTTTGTTGGTTGAATGTACAGAAAAAGAAGGAATGACACAAATATTCAGGGCCCACCAGTGATACACACTGGTCTTTCTCTTCAGAGCCAGCCATGTTTGATTCAGAGTTTGATGGCATTTCATCCCCTCACAGATCAATAGAATCCATTTGTAGACTCTAAATAAAAGCATAAGGGTTTACATGATTGATATCCAACTTCCTTTCCATTCACATTTGCCAGGTCATCACATCTCAGCATCCTGTGAATTTATTTTAAAATGCTAGAAGTGATATGCCAACATTACAGAAGTGAGGGCAGTAGAGGAAAATTACAGACTAAAACTAGTCATCTCAAATGTCACTACCCTGACACTGAAAGGCAGCTGGATCCTGCATCTCAATCTCTCCTCAGTAATTCTCTGTAAAATTGGGAATAATGAGACTAATACAAGATAGCAAATGTAAAGCACACACACCCACAAAAGTCCACAATAAACGTATATATTATTAGAGCAAAAATAACCATTTTTATGTAGTTCCTTTGTCTTGTTTTTCCTGCCTTTTTACCAAGTTGTTTTTTTGTACTTTCTTTTTTTTTCTTTTATCCTCACCGGAGGATATGTTCGTTTGTTTTTAATTGATTATAGAGAGATAAGAAAGGAGAGAGTAAGAAACATTGATGTGAGAGAGAAACATCAATCCGCTGCCCCCCGCCACCACTGTATATGTGCACCCAAACTGGGGATTGAACACGCAGCCTTTGCAGTATAAAATGGTGCCCCAACCAATTGAGCCACCCAGCCAGGGCATGTATCCTGTTTTTTTATATGACCCTTTTCCTCTTGCTCTGTATGATTACTGTAACTTTTTAAAATTGATTTGAGAAAGAGAAACATCAGTTTGTCGTTCCACTTATTTTTGCATTCATTGATTGATTCTTTTATGTTCCCTGACCAGGGAGGAACTCACAACCTTGACATACTGGGTCGATCCTCTAATCACCTGAGCTACCCTTTTAGGGCTGATTAGTGCAATTTTTAATGGTGGTACACTTCCATGGTTGGGTATGGGTGTACCATCATAGCTTATCCATTCCCCTGTTGTTAGACATTTGGGTTGCTTCCAGTATTTCAATAAATAGTGTTTCAGTGAACAGTTGTATGTATGTGGTGTACTAGGCAGTTTACTTCAGTTCTGTGTTTTTGTTGCCTTGATGCTAAGTGAGGTTAGACTAGTATCTACCTGACAGGATAGATATGTGGGTTAAATGAGGTAATACAGCAAAGCACTTGGAACAGTGCCTGACACTTACCAGATACTCAATGAACTTTACCTCTTAACCTCTGTTTGGGTTTGTTTCTTTACACTCACTCTCCAGATACTGGTTTTAGCAATTTATGATAACCACAGCAGTCATCTCAGGTTTTAAATATTTAACTCTCTCTTTCTTTAAAAATAATAGTGAAAAAACAAGTTCATCCATATTTGGGCAGCTTGTTATGAACAGAATTCACTTCTGTTCATTGCTCTGAAGAGTCAGGGCCTCGTGTCATGAAGGTTGGATTCCAGAGGCTATTTGTATGCTTTCCTGAGCTTTCAGTCCCCAGCTGTTTTCCACCAAATTGTAGCATCAGTTGGTCTTAGAAACCAGGCATATTTTATTCCTTACAGAAGTATATACTACTGTATATCTTCTTATTTTTTTCTAAGACAACCAATGGCTTGCTCTAGGAAAATCTGTTGTGGCACGTATTGATTTGATGACCCTCCTTGCTCCCCCATCCCCTCGCCCTACAAAAGACATCCATCAGGGTAATCATTAGCCCTGGTTTGCCCAGTTTGTACTTGTCCCTGTGTAAGTATTCATAGTGCTCCCTTCATCCTCAAAAGTGAACTAGTTTGGATGATAAATTAAATTGTCATCTCATCCCAGGGGGTTCCTCAGCAGCTGGGGTATCTGATTGACTTGCTATCTAATTACCCCCCTAGACAACTTTCTACCTGTCCAATAAAGGTTTCAGCCACATCACTTTCACCAAGATTCACTTGGGTGGGAGATCTTCACATATATCCAGCCTTGAATTAACATCATCCTAATAGACATTTACTCAAGTTTTCCCATATTATCACCTTCTGCCCCACACATATCTTGCTGATAATTATCAGTGGCATAGGCAGGGCAGGGCACTTTAAATTTGTTTCAAAAGTTGCTCTTTGTCCTTCAGAGTGATTTATTGTGCAGCTTAATTCATTCTACAGGCAAATGTTCTGTTTCTCATTTCTCTTCACTTAAAATTTTAAAAATTAAATCTGCTTTCAACTTCATCTTAAATGTAAACAAGATACGAGGACTTTCAACACTTGCTGCTCTTGCCTTCATCAAATATAATAAGGTGTTTACATTCATAAAGCACCTCAAAAGTTTTCAGGCAAACACAGCAAACAGGTCCAAGCTGAGTAAGCAGTAACAAGGACATGTCTAAGGTGATTTCCATGCTGGGTCACAGGCAATGTTCTGTTCACAGGATGAAAGGTTGTAAGTACAGAAGCTTCTGCACTGGAAAAGCAAAAACAAATTAACTTGTCAATGATGATTACCTTTTGTACTTGGGTAACTATATTTTAACTGTCATAAAAGGCTTTATGATTTGAGAGGCTTTGCTTTACCCCAAACAAGTGCCTGCATCCCTTGGGCAATGTGTTCACGGTTTTAAGGAGAAAAAGGAAATATTCTGAATGAGGGATGCTGCCATCTTGAACTAGTGCAGGACCAAAGTGGGGCTGTAGTCCATTGGTCAGAGTATGGATTATTAACTAAAAATTTGTTTTTTTTGTTTGTTTTAACCAGGCGACTTTCGGATGGTGGTTGGAGAGGATAAGACAAAAGTGTTGAATATTGTAAAGCCCAACATAGCCCACTTTCGTGAGCTCTATGGCAGCATTCTACAGGAAAATCCTCAAGTGGTGTATAAAATCCAGCAAGGCAGACTGGAGGTAACTCTGTGGTAAATAACTTCTACTGTTTCTAAGGCAAGGTCTACTTTAAGGGGGAAAGTAAGGATTCAAACAGTATAATTAGTATGATAACATTTTTTGTTAATATAGACTCCATTATTTTAAAGGAACAGTTTTATTATCTAAAACAAGCAACCACAAATGAAAAATTGGGGTCAAATCACAGGCCTCAGGACCCAGATGAGGAATAAAAAAAAATTATTTATAGCCATAAGTGCTTTCTTTGTAGTTTTCCTTGTGTCTGTCGGGCTGGGATATATTTTTTGCCATCATAGACCAATAACATATTTTTAAAAGTAAGTTTTGTGTATAAACATGTTCTTTTGTATATTTGGAATAATGCTAAAAAAGGTAACAAAAGAGACTGGTAATAGGAGGCCATCTTTGGAGAAGGGAGCCAAGGGCTGATGTGGGAGTGGAGCTTGTCTTCACCAAGTATCTCTGTTGCCATTCGAAATTCTTACTGTGCATATTAATTACCAGTCAAAAACAAGTGAAAATAAACTCTCGGATAACCCTCTTTTGTCCCCAGTCCCATTTGCCTTTTCAGAGGTAACCTGAAAGTTTGTCATTTAAACTTTCAGAAATTTTTGTATGTTTTTGTGCCTTATACACATGTACAAAGTGGTTTGGTCTTTTTTTTCTTTAGTTTTGTTTTACATAAATGGACTCAAACATACTATTCTGAAGCTTGTTTTTTCCCCCATTTGTTATATTTATTATGTCTTGGGAGTCTCCTTTTGATACATTAAGTAAAACTTTCAAGGTATTTTTAAGGTAATATTAAGTGTTTGAAAATAAATACTGAAGAATTTTCCTATTAGAAGAATAATTTCGGTTTAATATTTATTTTAACTATATAAACCTCAAGGTTTTTTTATTTTAATTTTAATTTTTATTTTTATTGTTATTTTTTATCTTTTCCCGCGACATTTCTTTTTCCATTGCTTTTAGAGAGAGAGGAAGGGTAAGAGAGAAGTATTGATTAGTTGCCTCCTGTACACTCCTGGACAGGGAATCATAAGGGCCCAGGCTGGGGATTGTATATACCTGGACTGGGGATCGAATTCGCAGCCTAGGTGTGTGCCCTGACCGGGAATCAAACCCCCAACCCTTCGGTTGTGGAATGATGATGCTCCAACCAACTGAGCCACACAGGCCACAGCCAAAACCTCAGGTTTAAAAAAAATTTTTAGCATAAATAACACTGTATTCTACCTTTTTATACTCTTCTTCCAAGTAACAGGGGCAACTAATATTATCTTGGATAAAAAATTAATGGAATATTTAGAACTGAAAGGGAACTTTAAAAAATAAGAATTATTTTAAACAAAAGGAAAGAATAGAGTATCATGAAATGTCTATAATACCCACCACTCCACAGAACAGACTTTGCCATGTTGGCATCAGATTGAGGTTTTTTTGCTTTTAATTTTCACTTTTCTCAAAGTAACACATGCACATGGTTTAAAAACTAAATGGCAGCTCAGAGTTTATAACAAAATATTGGAGTTCCCTGCTATATACCTTCCTACATCCCAGTGCTACTTCCTAGAGACAACTGCTTTTCTCTCAGTAGCTGATTCTTTTGATGTTTACCTCCATATTTCTACATAATGATTTGACTCATTTCTCTTTCTAAATTTTAGACTCTGTTTTTGTCATGACAAAAGATGAGGTCTATGAACGATAAGGATATTTTACTATTATGCCATTCTCATCAACACACACATGCACGCACATACTTTCTCTCCCACCTCTCTACTTTTTGCTCCACACATACCATATTTTGCAGTGTATAATGCACACTTTTTTGCGCAAATTTTTGAGGGAAAAATAAGGATGTGCATTATACATGGGTAGTACTAATTCTATACCTTTTTAAAATGTTTTTAATTCTTTTATTTATACTTATGCATTAAAAGTGTAACTCTAGAAAGCAATAACAATATCTGTATGCAAAATAATACCCTGGAGTACAATATTCAGTTTTCATGCATCTGAAAATTCTACCCCTGCAGTGATCGACAGTTTGGACTAAATTTAGGTTGGAAATAATTTTTACTCAGAATTTTTAAATCATACTTTCATTTCTTCTAGTTTCTAGTGTTGCATTAAAAAGTCTAATGATATTCAGATTCTCTATTCTTTGGATGTGACTATTGTATCTCTCTGACATTGTTTAGGGCCAGTATCCTTACATTTTATGATGTAAGTACCCTTACATTTTCTTTTCCAAGTATCCTTACATTTCATGATAATTTGCCTTTGTCTTTGTATATGTCTGGTTTTCATTTATTATTCTGGTACCTCATGAGCTTTTTCAGTCTGAAATTCGTGACCTTCAATTTTAGGAAATTTTCTTTTATTATTTCTGCAATAATTTCTTCAATCCACTTTTTTTACTTTATCCTTTCTGAAATTCCTGTTAGTAGGTGGTTGGACCTCCTAGTTTGATCACTTTTTTTCCTTTCCTCTTGTTTCCTTGGGTTCTTTTTTTTCTGCTTTCCAGATTTTCTCAAATTGATCATCTGATACTTCTATTGATATTTCATTTTTCTCTGAATATTCTTTTTATATTACATTCTATTCTGTTTTATGACTGTATTATCTTTATTTCTTTAACGATCTTTATTATAATTTAGAAGTTTTTCCTTGCTCTCTACATTGTCTATTATTTCTTTGTTCCTTTTTCTGTTGATTCACTCACATCTGTTAGTGTATTGGCTTTCCTCAAATGCTTGGATGTCCTTTATGACCTGTTTTTAAAAACAACACACTTTTGGATTCCCTTTAAAACTTCCAATCAAGATGGAGGCAAAGGTAAATACTGCTCCTCTCTATGTACAACCACATCAAAATTACAACTATAGAACACCATCTCTCAGAACACCATTGTCAGAAATCGAGTTGAATGGAAGTCGGACAACTAGGGAATTAAAGAAACCACATCCATCCAGACTAGTAGGAGAGATGGAGACGTGGAATGCGCTGCTCCTACACCCACATATGGTGGATAAAAATTTGGGAAGGATATCTTGGGAGTAAGGATTCCCAGACCCACACCAGGCCCCCCAGCCCAGGGTTCCAGGGCCAGAAAGATAAGTCTCCATAACTTCTGGTTGCAAAAACTGGTGGGGATTGAGTCAACAGAAGAAACTTCTGGAGTCTCAAGCTGTTCTTAAAGAACCTGCACACAAACTTACTCAGACTCACTCCCTCTGAGCTCCAGCACCCAAGTGGCAGCTTGAAAGGCACCAGTGACATATGGGGAGGAACTGAAGTGCCGGTCATCAAGGTGGGAGCTGGGGGACAGCTTCCTCCCAGGCAGAAAGGCAAGCAGAGACCATTTTCCTTTTCTGAACCCACCCCTGACAGAGCCACAGAGCAGGCAGGCAGGGGCAATAACTGAGACTCCATCACTTGGCTAACACTGTTTGTCCCACCCTGGAGATCCCCTGAGGATCCACTGGACCCAACTTATGAGCTCACCCAAGCTCTTAACAGTTGTTTTTCTATATGAGTGGCTGGTCTTGGCTGATGCTTCACAACTTCCTAACTTTTCTCAGACAAGCAGCAGCCAGCCTCAGCAAGCTCCCAGCTCCCATACATCTTGCTCCCATACATTTGGCTTGGCACACTAAGCCAAATCATCCATAAAGCAAGCTCATTCTTTATCCTCTTCCAAAGCCAGTCACAAGAGAGCCTCCATGTGGCCATATGCATGAACCAGTGGGAAAGTAGACCAGTGGACAATGATGCAGTAGTGCATAGTGGATATCATAGGGGGTCTAGGTTTCCTGCTTATACAGCTTACTTGTGTCCTCTGGCTTTGTTCATGTCTAATACTAATAATGTGCCTACTTCATCTTGCAGTGGATTGCTGTTGAGTCTGCCTGACCTTAGGACTTGGTGAATCTGAAACATCCAGGCTAATAATGATGCATAGTCATTTGATGTCCCATGGTTAGAACCTCCATTTCTACCAGGGTCTAATATGTAGGAACTTATTTCAAATGGTGTATGGTCCTTTACTGCAGATGGCCTGGGCTTCCTCCAGAGCCCTAGCAGTCTGCATTGTGATTCTCCTCCTGGGAGCCCACCATAGCTTCCCGTGGCTTCTTTTTACCCTGAGGTTACCTTTAGTACCATAGAGTTTACAGGGATGTATGGCACAAGTGGCAGAGCTGCTTACACTGCTGCCTGGGCTGTTGGAAAATTCTTTTTTGCTCTGGGCCCCTCCCAAACCTGGCATCCTTTTATGTCACTTAGTAAATGGGTCTGAGCATTATTCCCAAGTGGGGACTGTGCTGCCTGCAGAACCTGAGGAGGCCTACCAGGCATTATGCTTCTTTCTTAGTGGTGAGAGGTGTGAGATGCAGTAAGTTCATCTTTACTTTGGAGAGGAAGTCCCAACATGCTCCAGATCACTTGTCCCATGAAAACGTCATTGATGTGTTAGGTTCCTAAAACTTCATAGGTTTTATCTTCTATGGTCTGGAGTACATGTATTTACCAAGGCCTCCAGTGTATCTGCCCCTTCTTCCCACCAGGTGACAGTAGCAGCATATCATTGAGGTAGTGGACCAACATGAGACTATAAAGAATGTGCAAATAGTCTGGTTTCCTTTGAAAATCTTATGACAGATGATGGGAGAATTAACATAGCTCTGAGGCAAATCACAAGGTATACTGATGTGCCACATGAATGTAAGCTGCTTCTGATCCTCTTTCCTAAAAGTAGTAGAAAGGATGTACTCGCCAGTCTGAGGCCCCATCCAGGTACCTGTAGTAGTTCTGTTGATCTGCTCTGGCAGGTTTATTACATCTGGCACAGTAGACATAATTGGGGCTTCTGCCTGGGTTGAGTCTATAGTAATATACTACAATCTGTACAGTCAACTACAGTCTACAAACTCCATTTAGATTTTGTGAGGGCCAGACTTAATGGACATATGATAGAATCATCAGCCCTTGTA